AAGAATTTCTTCCTTAGATCCAGTCTAAACCTCCCCTGCTTCAGTTTAAAGCCATCCCCCCTTGTCCTGTCCCAGCTGGCCCTGCTAAAAAGCTTGTCCCCCCCTTTCCTCTGGGCCCCCTTGAAGCCCTGACCGGCCGCACTCAGCTCTGCCCGCAGCCTTCTCTTCTCCAGGCTGAACACCCCCAACTCTCCCAGCCTGGCCTCCTAGCGGAGGGGCTCCAGCCCTCGGAGCATTTTAGTAGCCCTCCTCTGGCCCCGCTCCAACAGCTCCATGTCCTCCTTGTGCTGAGGGCTCCAGAGCTGGACGCAGGGCTCCAACTCGAATCCTTTTTGTGCAGCGCCCAAAAAAATCTAACGGAAATATTTTGAATGGTAGTATCTTTTTGTAAAAATACTGGTGAATTTTGGCATCTCGCTTCACGGCTTGGACTACCTGGGATTATCAGTGCTATTGCTCAAGAGCAGGTGACGTGTCAGCATCCGACCCTTTGCGGCGTGTGGCACACAGCGTTCTTCTACGGGAAGATAACCAGTTTGGAGTGAATAGCAAATGCGATACTGAATCTTCTGCGTTAGTAGTAAGGTTTGGAGAGCTGATTTTTTTTTTTTTTTTTTTTTTTTTTCTTCCCTCATGAGAGAAGAGGGACTGTTTAAGAAAAGCTCTGATAAGAGGCTTTTGAAATTCAAGGGTATAAATTGTAAGGCTGCGAGGTTCAGGAGGGTAATGGGTAGGAGATGTTGTCTATGTTTGAAGATAGCGTGGGACTCGTGAGGGCTATTTCTACCCAAGCAAGAGGTGTTTGAAGTAAGGGACCAAGGGGATGGATTTAAGCAAGGAGCACATGCACTTAGAAAACATCTTGATCTGTTTATGCTGCCTGAGGCAGAGGGGCTTTGTGAAGAAACATTAGGGAGGAATAAGCTGAGATGGAGATGGGCCAGTGTTGGGCCAACTGGCTAGTCTGTTCCTACCAATATATTCACCATTGCACTTCCACGGGCGTATTTACGCCAGAATTTACAATTTAAGTTGAGGGGATGTACAGGTAATTCTTGTCCCCTGGGTTTTGAAGGTCAGTTTATACTCCGAGATGTATTTTGGGTATTTGTGTCAGTGGGCAGTATTGTAATTCCAGATCTAACCTAATCATATTAGTTCTGTAATGACGGCCCTGTAGTGAGATGATTGTGGTGCAGTGGCCTTATCCTGGGGGAGCTGCATCTGAAATGTGCCAAGCCACAAGAGGCTTTTTGAACCTTTCCTTTCTCAAACCCGGTGGCTTAGTCTCATGGCTCTGGCACTGACTCATTTTATCTCCTTCTCCTGGGAAAATGGGAGAATCTTCAAAGCAGGTGTGAAATTGATATTCTAAAATTGAAGACCCCATTGATTTTTGCCAGCGTTCCCTGCCCATGCTGAACAGCGTGTGGCTTGGGGGTAAGCATGGCTCTTAGATGTTACATTAATACAGATAATTCTCTTTAAAGTACGGTTCCCTTAATCGTCTTCGGTCATGCTAGAGCTGTCCTCACAACCTCCTGGCAGTTGCTGTGCCATCTCCCCCCGGGGAAGGAGCTTTCCCTGCAACTCCTGCAAGCATCGCTCGCAACAGATATCTTCTGCCACTTGGAGAAGGCAGCCCTGTCTTGGAAGGGCTCCTTTTCCTCTGGTGCTGGGTAATTTGTCCTCCGCTTATACTGGGAGCTTCTGTTCCACATTGTGTGTGCTGAGTAGGTAGTTCTCTCTCTTATAAGATGCTCTGAGATATTGCCACCCTGGAAGGGCACTTTTTGAAGGTTTGGATATTTTTTCATCTGTCCTATCGCTCTTTTCTTGCTAATGGTTATTATGGGTAAGTCTAGTTCAGTCTGCACGCTGGGTGCTGCAAGAGGTTCTGGAGGAGAAATGGGTTTGTATGTGTGCAAGCAAATGCCTCCTAGAGACTTTGTATAGATGTAACCACATCCCCCCCTTCTCCCTGCAAGGGAAGAACAATTCCCGGATTGTGAAGAACCAAGCTCAGAAGAGAGCTCCATTTAAGGCCCTTAAAAACAGCTGGACGAGGACTGATGGTTTGATCCAAGTTCTCACTGATGACTTCCGTCAAGTACAGTAAGCGCTTACAGAAAGGCGTGCTTAATGGGAACCAGGGGTGGTTGTAAGCTGCGGGGGTGATGCCCCAACCTGGGGTAGAAAGCCCACATCCCATGTGGGACATGCTTGTGAGGAAAGGAAGGATGTGGGGTTTGGGTAGGGGTGACTGGATGGGGCTGGAACCCTACCTGTTAGCAAAGTGCCATTTCAGGGGAAGGGTTTGTATTTTACGAACCAGCAGACATTTAAGGGTCAGGAGCTGTATGGTTAAGCAGGCCCCATCCCTGGGAACATTCCAGGCCAGGTTGGCCGGGGCTGTGAGCAACCTGATGTGGTTCAAGGTGTCCCTGCTCCTGCAGGGGGGTTGGGCTGGGTGGCCTCTAGGGGTCCCTTCCAACCCAAACCATTCTATGATTCTACGAACGTAATTTTTGGTCACCCCAATTTGACAAACATGGTTATTTTACAATGCTGTTGGTTTTTTAGTTCGCTTCAGTATAAAACCACTTTAGCATCTGCAAGAAGTACGGAGAGCTTCAATAATAGCTCTAATAGCTTCAGAAAGAGAGGAAACGCGGATACGCTGGCGAGGGATGGAACATGGCTCTCTTGATCAGGAGGAGACGAGGAAGGTTGTGCAGTGCTGTGGGGGAGGACTCACAGTTGCCATCCTGTGTAGGAGGCAGAAGACGATTCCAGAGGACCCAACTGGATGGAGTTAATCTGGGGGTGCGTGGACACTGTCCTGTGCCTGCCTGGGCTACTCGGGTGACTCTCAGGGCTTACCTTGGAGGTGGCCTCCTCTCCAGCTCCTGAGCCAGGCTGCAGCACCCATGCGGTGCCCTCAGGACAGGCGTCTGGAGATACCTGGGTGAGGCGACCTGGTTGAGAAGTAGCACAGGCAAGCGGAGGAGCAGAAATAACCCCCAAGGAAACGCAAAGCTTATTTCCTTTCGGTTTTCCAGGTGGATTTTCCTAAGCAGCTCTAGCAGATGATCTGGGAGAGCTGGTGGTCCTGGGCTATGACTTCTCAGCAGGGCCAGCAGGTTGTCAGGCTCTAGAATGGGCTGCCCAGAGAGGTGGTTGAGTCCCCATCCCTGGAGGGATTTAAAAGAGGGATAGATGAAGTGCTTAGGGACAGGGTTTAGTGGTGGGATGGCAGGGTTAGGTTAAAGGTTGGACTCGATGATCTCAAAGGTCTTTTCCAACCAAAGCGATTCTATGATTCCCTGGGAACATGGTGGCATTTCAGCCAGGGCTGCAGGAGCGTGCCGCTGGGAGGATCGGCGTGCCGGTACATGTCGCTGGATTTCTGCAGAACTGCAAAGAGCTAAGACCTGAAAATCCCTTTTCTTTTGGGCTCCCTGTAGCCTTAGCGGTGAAGATGGAGGTCTGGTCGACGGGCTTTGAACAGTTGTTATTTTGAGGGAGTTTGTTGGGGTGAATAATACCGCAGGACTCTAGAGCTGAGGCAGAATTTGGAGAGACCAACTGAAAGAGGGTGCTGACAGAGATGAAACACAGACGAGATGGGATTGCTTTGTCACACCTGGGTGGTGTCAGTTTGCAGGCAGGTCAGCATCTCGGGCCGAGGGGAAGGGTAGGTGATGAATGAAGCCCCTAGAAGGGTTTCCTCCAGCTGATGCCTCTGTGCAGACATCACCACGGGTCTGTCGAAATGAGAAGAAACCATTGGCACTGGCGGATCTAATTTCCACGTGGTGTTGGCCTCCCATCTTCTGCTCGCCAGGAATAGCAAGCCATGGGCTGAAGGGCAGGAGGTTGAGTGGGGAGCAGGAGGAAGTTTTCGGGTGATCAAGGCGGGGATGCTGAGCGCGTCTGCAAGCCCTCGTGGAGCCAGGGATAAGGAGTTTCTGGGGAGGCTTTGCAGGGGGGTTAGCATGTTGGCTGTGTGGGTGCGAGCGTGCTTCGGGCGGCTGCGTGATGCTGTGAGCTTGAAGCAAATCCTGCGTGTGGATTTGGGTAGTGGGGAGGAGCTGGTTCTCTCCCGGGGTGTTGGCGTGGCGTGGGTGGGCTCCCGCGGTGCGAGCGCTACGCACAGCCCTCTTCCTTCAGCTCTGCCTGGGTTCGGCTTGGATTTACTTCTGTACCTTCTGCTGAGGCTAATGTCAGGCGCGAAGGGATGTTGGATTAGGCTAAATCTCCGAGGGTTAACTGGAACGTTGTCTCGCTGTAGCATTTTTCTCCCTTGCTCTTTTC